GTCAATGTTGTTTTGCAGCAACTTTATACTTTATTTTTTATTAGAAACAGACACAGAACATGTTCTGTTACATTCTTAATTATTTCTTTCACACATACAGGAGTGCAACTTACACGTTTTTGCATAAAATAAAATAAAGTTGTGATGTGAAAACATCAATCAATCAATCCTCTCCGCTTCTAAAACAGTTTTGTGGTTTGTGGTCATTTTGAGACTCTATTAAGTTTTCAGCCTGCCATGCTGTCACTCTGTGTACAATGATGCAGCTGGGACACATAAGTGCAGAGATTCAACTGAATTAATGTGAGTCAACTTGGAGCCACTGATGACTCCAACCACTGAGTTTTCGGGGGCAGCTCTGATGTCCACACGTACGCTGAGCGAGTTAATCCTCCTCTCCATACTGACTACAAGTTCACAGTCTTCTCTAAGTTACTGTCTGTTTGGCACAAATCTCCCTCTTCTGATCGGAAAGAACGTTAAACTGCATTGTTACTTTAAAATGAATGAATATCCGTAGTATATGAAAGATGAAAGATATTTTAAGGTTGGTTGGTTGACACTGAACTCAATTTCTGGCTCAACTGTATGAAGAAGCTGAAGGAGCATGAAGAGTTGGAAAAGGTCTAGCATGGATGGGATTCAAAGTTGAATAAATTTCATGATGTATGAAAGATGTGGAACCCTGTAAGTCCAGAGTCCTCCTTCTCAGTCTGAGTTAGTGAGTCTCCTCTGTGTTTCCATTACAAGCTCAGGGATTCGACTGCTGGAGCCTCACATATTATCTTGTACATAAGATTTTGTTCAATTATTTCAAGTTACTTTTTAAATGTAAAGACGAGTATTGTATTTATACTGACCTAATGCAGACAGTTTCCTTTAAAAGAATCTGTTCCACTTCTATGTTCCAGTGGTGGACTATAAAGTGGTGGCTGTAAAGGTTTGAAGTAATGTTACTTTGCTTGTTATTTCCATTTTCTGCTACTTTATACTTCTACTACATATTTAGATTATAAATAAAAAACATATATCAACTAATAAATGATGTATTATTATAGATGAAACTACCCAAAAGTATATAAACTTAAGCTCCACCTCAATAATTATAATCCAATAATTGTGAACAATCATATTATTCTGCATATTAAGGTACTTCAGGAACAGTTTGATGTTAATACTTTGAATGCAGGACGCTGTAACAGAGTATTTTTACAGTGTGATATTTCTTTTTGTAGTTAACGATCAAGACAAAATATTCTGTTTAGAACACATCCGTCACCTGGAGGCTCTGATAGTATCGAGTCTTATGGAGAAGTTGATTAATGAGTTCAGGGTTAGAGTTAGTAACTGATGTTCATTTAGTAACTGATGTTCATTTAGTAACTGAAGTTCATTTAGTAACTGAAGTTCATTTAGTGACTGATGTTCGTATCGACTTGGTACCAAAGTATCAGTACTCATGCGACTGGATTGATTTGATACCTACACTCGTGCTGCTGTTACAGCGGTACCTTTTCCCTCCAGCTCTCACCAGGTGTGCTGATTGCTAAACGCTAAAGCTTTTAGCGTGGGACTGTTACTGCCTCTCGGCTTTGTGTCTTTACATAGTCCTGATTTAGTGTCTTGGTTGTTTGTCTTTACGTTAATGAATCAGTTGCTTAAAGGTTTCTTTCTGTGGTTGTTTGGGTCAGTGGTGGAGTGTTGTTCGACCCTAAGGTGGGAGGTAACAAATGTGGGCTCGTCCGGGACAGAACGTCCATGAGGTGAGGTATAGGTGTTAGGTTTTAGAGTGCAGTGGTCATCTCTTTGGTCAGATCATTTCTGGTTGTTGCTGCTTTTAGCTTTAGTTGTGTTTTTGACTGGACCACTTTCGGTGATAATCCTGACTGGGGGCGCACTTGTTTGTACGTCTTTATATGAATAAATCTGTTGTTTTAAAGGTGTCTTTAGAGCTGCCTAAAGGTCGGGCTTAATGAATGGGGTCTCGTCCAGGACACAACGTCCCTGACATGAGGTATATGTGTTTTTAAGTGTAGTGTCTTTATGGTAATAAAGTATTTAGTTGTTTTAAAGGTGTCTTTCTGTGGTTGTGTGCCCTGTAGCGCCGCCTATAGGTGGGACGTAACACTGCATTGAACCTGCGTGTGTTTCAGTGTTTAAATAAAAGAAACAAGAGGAGGTAACGGGAGGGGGGGTCACATAGTGTGCCTCCTTTAAATGTCAGTGTTTATCTGCTGTTTGTCCCCACAGAGCGAATGACCTCGAGGCTGAAATAGCCTGTACACACACACACACACACACACACACACACAGTATTGGTGGATAAGAGGGGTGTAACCAGTGAGGGGGGGGGGGTGTGTAAGCTGTCGATCGTCCTGAGGTCAAAGTATTGAAACCACACTGTACAAATACTCTGTTACTGCATTAAAAAGTGTTTTTGTTGCTTTGTAATAAATCACATTTAGTCCAAAGCTCCAAATGATTCCAAATACACACTGTAAAAAATAAGTGTTATTTTTAAGGCAAACGGATATTAGTACTGTTAATTTCAGGGTTAATGTTGGTATTTTATTCCATATTTTACCGTATAAATACAAGTTTTACCATAAAAAACTGTTTTGCCATAGAATTAACATAAAAATACCATATATGAGATATGACTCATACTGTGCAGTTAACAATCTGTAAGGTAAAAACTTGCAGTGTAAATAAAGCCATCAGATGTTACGGTAAAAGGACATTAGTGCTGTTGATTTTACGGTTAATGTTGTCATATTTAAGCTTTTATTACAATCACTCAAAAGAAAAGCAGGAAATCTTAATAGACGGATCAGCTGCACTTATATTATATACGTATAAACTGTTGGGTAGTTTCATTTAGAACAAACATCATATTTTATAAACTCTTGGTATGTTTTGTGTGTAAAAATATAAATTTGTAACTAAGTCTGTCAGATTAACGCAGTTACAATATTAGATGGAGGAGAAGAGTAAACGTACTGCAGATATAATTTATATAGAGTCATTCCAGACTGGGCAGTTATATTTATATTTTTCATGCAGAGGATAATTTAATTTAAACAGGATTCACAGGGTTGAACATAATTAAACTGATATTATAGCTGCTTTAAATAAAACCTGTTCTGATCTTCTGTGTTACAATCCTCAGACAGCTCAGGGGGGATTTACTCACATTAAATTATTCTCTGTGTGATAAGTGAATAAGTGAGTGAATACAGGCTCTCTGAAGTGATGTCTGATGATGTGTTCGACTTGAGCGGTCTTTTGTAAATAAGAGTGAAACAGAATAAACATGTAAACACATCAAAACCTTCAGAGAATCACAAATAACAGGAAGACAGGACGTTCCTGTGACGCAGTGGACACCTGCTGACGACTCGAGTGACGGAGTGATTTCACTGTTTTACAGAGACTCTACAGTGAAGAGCAGCTGTAATAAGAAAAAGTAAAAAAAGTGGAGTGAAGCTTTGTGTCGACGCTGACGCAGTCGTCATGGTAACAGTCACAAACATGAGTAAGACGGTGACATCAGATCGATATCTGCTCTTTAAAACCACCTGATCGTGTTTTAATTTACCCATTAACAAACCCTTTAAAACACATTCAAGCCTCCAGATGTCAGATTATTGATCAGTGTATTGATCAGTGTA